GGCGCATGCCTGTAATCTCAGCTACTTGGGAGGCTGAGGCACGAGAATCACTTGAACCCAGGAGGCAGAGGTTGCAGTGAGCCGACATCGCACCACTGCACTCCAGCCTGGGTGACAGAGTGAGACCCTGTCTCAAAAAAAGAAAAGAAAGAAAGAAATTTTGTTTTATTTTATTAATAAATGCAAGCCTCTGAGTTGCTCAGTATATATATTCACTTGCTTACCCTCCCTCAGTAGGTAGCAAAGCAGAAAAATAAATAATGTCAAGATCCTTCCTTTCTTTGTCATCTATTTATTAGTATTTTATTGAGCACAGTAATCGTTTTCTTGTGTGAAAAAGTTTTGAACATCTTCATAATCAGGTTATTATCTTGCCAGGCCCAGCGGCACACACCTATAATCCCACACTCAGGAGGCTGAAGCAGGAGGATTGCTTGGGCCCAGCATTTTGAGATCAGCCTAGGCAACACAGTAAGACACCGTCTCAAATATATATACATATATATACACATACTTCTTTTCCTCCTACCATATGGTATATACAATGCTAAGGGCTTGAGCCTTCCAGCCATCGCCCCTTTTGTTGTTGTTGTTAGACGGAGTTTCATTCTTTTGCCCAGGCTGGAGTGCAATGGTGCAACCTCAGCTCACTGCAACCTCCGCCCCGCTAGGTTCAAGCGTTTCTCCTGCCTCAGCCTCCTGAGTAGCTGGGATTATAGGCACCTGCCACCGTGCCTGGCTGACTTTTATATTTTTAGTAGAGACGGGGTTTCACCATGTTGGCCAGGCTGGTCTCAAACTCCTGATCTCAGGTGATCCACCCATCTCGGCCTCCCAAAATGCTAGGATTACAGGCGTGAGCCACTGCACCCGGCTGCCTATTTCTTATTATTATTATCTAAAGACATGTGACCCTTTATAGCACCTTCTCATTTCAACAGGCTGAGCAAAGTGAGCCCAATCAGCCAGAACAAAATGTCGTGGGTTCCTCCCTGCTCTGTGAGTATCATGCCTCACACTCACACTTAACCCCACCTGTCCCTCTCTGGGGCAGACAGCATAACACAGGAAAGCCACACACCCTTTTAACTCTTGCTCAGAGCAGGCAAAAACTGAGAAGGCGAGACCAGCCACCACAACAGGAATCTTACCTGAGCCAGGTTTTCAATCCCACCCAAGCTATGGAGGATTTCCTAATAACATAAAAGCAACAAAACACATGTAAATGATGAGGGTAGAGGGCGAAGTATATTTTACTTGCAATTTATTTACTAAGTTGTCATATTTAAAATTATTTTGTGAAGGTCTACATTCTAATATAAATATGGAAAACGTATGGTGTGTCATTCATACTACCTTTAAAATAAACTATTAATAAATATGAAAGTTGGGTGGAGATTAAGAGAATGAATCTGTGCTCAGAACCGCAGCCTGCCCCCTCATTCTTCTTACCTCCTCCTGTGTCATCCTAAAATGTTTGAGTTGAGAAGAGCCATTAGACACCATTTCATTCAATATTCTCATGTTACAGATGAGGGAAACCAAGACACAGAAAGAAAACCATTTTGCATAACTGACGAACCTGGATGAGAACAGCATCACCAAACTCCAAGAACCCTCCGCTAGGTCTCTGCCTAGTGTGGTCCATGAACCAGCAGCACCCGCAGCACCTGGGAGCTGAACAGAAATGCAGAATCCTGCACCCACCCCAGACCTGCTCGCACTCAGTTTCAACAAGATCTCCGGCGCATACGCACGTACAGTACAGTTTGAGAAGCATTGCTCTAGGAGAGAAAGAGCTTCTCAAAATTATTAGATGAATGATCTTATTAGACCCATGCTCTAAAGAAATGTAGAGATAATGTTTGACAAC